ATTGTATATCGATAACATACTGCCAAAGCACAATTCGATTTGGTAAAAACAGTTCAGCAAGGACAAAATGAAGCTGGCCTGACACTCAGGAACAGAAGAAAGAAATATTCTTCAGGTAACATTGTTCACGTATTCCTTCATAAATTGAGTTTCTCTCACTGAAGTTTTGTGGAGTGTCCATGAGCTCAAAGTTATAAAGACACACCCAGAGGTGTCCTTCTGCGGCTGACAGTTAACATCAGAATCAAGTGGTAAGGAGCTTGCCATCTTCTTTCAGAAGCTTAGAAACGAAGGGACAATAGCACATGCTAAATATGAGACCCCCACTCCTAAAAGCTGGTGACCAGTCAGAGCATTGAGGGCAAGAGTCCTCTCAATGTTCAATCTAGTACTGGAATGGCTCCCACTTAGGTATGTAAACATGATGGCAAAGTTTTATGTGATGAACCATAGCAACAATAATTTAAGCCTTGAAATTCTTTTAACCAAATATGACCAAATGTTTCCCTGGGCCATAAAACGTGTCAAGAAAATGTCCATGGAGTGTTTAATCCTGAGCAATATAACTCCCTTTCAGAAATTCCAAGAGAGGCTAATTGCAAACTGTATGCCTCAAAAGCTGAATGGTGAGCCTACTAAAAGGGGAAGAGGCTCTGTCTAGGACCCAAACTCCCAGAATAGTTCCTGGTATGTGGTAGGCACTCAATAAATGTTTGTTGAGTGAACTTGCTAGGTAATTTCGTAAGCCATAAGTTAGTTAAATATTGGGGAGCTTCTACCAAAATGATATTGGAGTTGATGTCAGAATGGTGGTTTGGTTAGCTTTGTATTGTCAGTACTTCAATACAAAGGCCACTTGCCTATTTAGGTTCCTTGGGAACTTAGTTTCCTGCCCATAAGTCATACCTTCTGCAAAGCTCTGTACATTTTCTACCTACTATCCAGCAGCCTGTTCTGCCCTTCCCTGTAATGGAGGTGCCATGTCTCCTTCTGACAAGTGAGACTAGGAAGAAAGGAGTCCTAGAGGAGGAGGAGGAGCTTTCCTGGGCAGAGCAAACTGTGCGCAACCTAGAACCACTACACCCTTCACCACTAATGAAGATTCCACGGCTGCCCTTTATGGCTTGTTTCAGGGTCACTGCACCCGGCTCACAGCACCGCAATAGTTAAGAAGTAATTTCCTATGTCTGGTACCAAATCACCTGCTTTAACTTAAACTTATCTCTTTCAGTAGCCAGATGACAAGAAAAACCACTAACCTCCACACCCCTTAACAATATTTGTGTATTAAGAGTGTCATCTAATTACCCCTGAACCTTTTCTTATATTTTCCATTGTTTTCATCATTTTCTGGATATTTTCCTCATATTTCTGGATATTTTCTTCATGGCCTCGTTAAAGAGAACTACCCCTCAATCTAACTCAGTCCTCAAGGTAAAGTATAAATAAACAAAAGTACTAACTATGGGCAGGTTGTAATAAAGGGAGTATCATAGCTCAACTCTCTCACATCAGCCCCAGGAAGAACTAGGAAAAGAAAACAAAGACCTTCAAAATACCTGAAGAGTGTTTGCCATGGATGCAGATTCCCTAAAGTTAAATCCAGCTCAGATTTATGGTCTTGGATTATGGTTAATGAAGAAGCACATTTGAGCATTAGATATAAGAACAGTGTTTGGGGAGAGAGGTTTAGCCACTATTTTGCATATACAAAAGGATTAGAGATTGCAATGAAGATGAGTGGGACTAGTGGTGAACATTACCTAGGGACTATTCCTGCTGTTCATTCTCCTGATATCACACTAGGTCTCTGAGATGTCACCTTCACCTCCAGGGCCTGTGTGTGCACACATACTCATCCCTCCCCCCTCCACCCCCACCGCCCCGGCATACACTCACCATAACAACCACCTCTGAGAGGATAGAGGTCTTCTCTTCTGCTGCTGGTTCTAAGATGGATGTACCTTTCCCGTCAGTCTTCAATTAACCCCTCCCCCACCTGAACTGTCTCCTAAGTAAGCACTCCCTTTGGGGCACTTCCTTTGGATTTTAATTACAGGCCGTACCGCTAAAACCAAAGAGATTTTAAAAGATTAAATAAAATAATAAGTGTAGGAATGTGTTTTAAACATATAGTAACAGCTTTTTCTGGTATTCCCTGAAATATTCCTAAATTCTTATTCTTTCTTCTATATTAAGTCATGCCTTAATTTTTCTCTTGAAAGACAATCCTTCTCCACATCTTATCTCCCATGTCTCCCTCACTTTTCAATAGATAAGTCCCAATTTTAAGTCCTACATGCACCATTATTTCTAGCTCGGAACCCCATTTGGCAGGTTCAATAGGCTCAGAACAAAGGGCAACAAATTTCAAATAGCAGCCAACTAAGCTTTAAAAGATAAAGGACAAATATTCGCCTTGCTCCACCCAGGGAAGTCATCTCTGAATTCCTCTCTCAGATGGGCAACTGAGGGAATACCTTGCTGGCTCTGGCATGGCTACAGGGACCCACGATCTCTGATGATCAATAAGTCTCTGCCATGGATCAGAAGGCCCAAGGAGACCCAAGGGATGCAGGTTTCCACAGAGATGATATATGCCTCCTACAGGACCTGACTTGCAAAAAGCAATAGTTGTGTGTGTCCAACTGTGGCAAGGGCTCTGAAAATTGCTTGAGAATGGGATATGCCCCCTTTAATACAGAACGGAGGGGCCATTTTCTGTCATGCCAAATGAAAGAATAACATATTAACCACAAAATATTTTTATTAAATTCTGTCCTGCTAGTTCAAATAATCCCTTTTTCTCCTTTAGGTTAATGCATATGCTTCAATTGTTTAGACCTTGGTAATACAAGGATTATCCTGTGTCCTTATCTTTGTTAGGAATATGTCCTAACATTCATGAGAAAAATCTTTCATTCCATGAAGATTGTATTAGCTCTGTTGGTTAGTGCCTTGAGCTAATAAATATGGGGATCTTAGGTAGTGGCTAGCTGGGTGAGCTTTGGAATAAGACAGGCCAGATCCAAATCCTAGCCCTCAGCTTAATGGCCAAGTAACTTGACTCCATAAGAGGTAATATATTGCCTCTTAAATAAATTAAATATCTGCAGTGGTTAAGAGCTTGGCAGCTAACCAAAAAAGGTAGGCATATTGAATCCACTAGCCACTCCTTGGAAACCCTATGGGACAGTTCTACTGTGTCCTATAGGGTCACTATGAGTCGAAATCAACTCAACAGCAATGAGTTTGGTGGTTTTTATGAAGAACATGGCTTGTGTTTCTGTCACAGTTAAGTGCAAGTCACTCAAAATAGTTAACTGACCTTTAGTCATTTGATCAATACAAGTACTGGAGGGAGGGGAATAACACCTGACTTTCGTGTTGTAAGAATTAAGTTGATAATGGAATATACTGTATATCATGGTGCTTACACTACAATGAACCTGCTGGCCTCTAATCTATTCTAATTCATGGTGATCTCAAGTGTTACAGAGTAGAAATGCTCCATAGGATTTTCTTGGCTGTAATCTTTCTGGAAGCAGATCTCTAGGCTTTTCATCTGTGGTGCCACAACCTTGTCAAGCACAAACCACTTGTGCCACCCAGGGACCTTTCTACTATAATGAGAGTACAATAAATGGGAACTATTGTTACAGGAAATATTAGCTTTATGCAAGGAAATAATATTCCCTCTGACCAAAGAACACTTGAGGAACTCAGAAATGTCTAGAACCCCGGCCAGGATCAACTAAAGTAAAATTGTGAAGTGTGTTAAGCTCATATTTGATTGCCTCTCCAACTACCTTTCTTTCTAACCTTAATCCTCCCTATTAAAAATCCACTCTCCAAGAAAAAAATAGAGAGAGAATTAGCAGGGTGTGGTAGTAAAGGTTGGATTTAGGGTTACAGAAACCTGGAGCTCATCTAGACCCCATGTTTGCTATGTGAACTTTGATAAATAATGTAAACCCTATAAACCTCTATTTCATCATGAATAAGTAGGGAATATATCTCAAAACTATCTCACAATGTTGCTGTACTAATGATAATTTATGCAAAACAGTTACTAAATATTAAATAACTATTAGTTATTGTTCTGGAATAAAAGATGAACTCAATATGAAAATTATTGAGACTGTAAAAGGTTATTAAAAAGGGTACCTGCCCTTTAACATGACACCAACATTTAAGTACATGGAATGACATGACAGCGGTGGAATTTCAGGTATCCACCGTCTTCACACTTTGACCTAGAGCCTCCTGAACTTCCCACCACTTTCCACCACATCTCTGTCACTCCCTACTATTCTTTCTTCTCCCCTGTATCACTTCCTTGTGGCTCCTTATTTTTATGCTCATTTCATTTCTATTCTCTTCTCTCTTGCATACAAAATATCTCCTTCATGATACCAATCAGCTTTACAAGGGTCTTGGTGGAGCAGATGAGATGTTGATGCTTCCCTTGACTCAGTCAGTGCTACCAAAATAATTTTGCCTTTTTCTTCAAGTAGGTAAACAACATCCATGTCTAAGACTCTACATGATCCATATAAGTACCTCTGTTCATGCTCTCTTTATTTGCTCCAAGTATCTTAAAAGGGGTGAGACCTGTCGGCACAGTGGTTAAGAGCTACGGCTGCCAACCAAAATGTTGGCAGTTTGAATCCAACAGCCACTCCTTGGAAACCCTACAGGGCAGTACTACTCTGTCCTACAGGGTCACTATGAGTCAGAATCGACTTGGAGGCAACAGGTTTTGTTTTTTTCTTAATAGGTTTATCATAAAAGGGTTGTGTAATAGACTTTTGAAATGGGCCCTGAAAGGTGAGGGGACATGGTCAGGGTCACTGGTAATTTGTAGAAGGGCAGGAGTGAACTCTTGTCCTCAGCCTTTGGGTACATACACATAGCATCATGCTAGGAATCATTGGCTTTAGAAAAGGTGATGTCATTTAGAATTAAGTCTTCTCTCACTCTCAGGCTTGCCTAGAACCCTGTGACTCTCCAAAAGTGGTCACAATGCCCACTTCCCAATCTCATTTCTTTGAAAACTTGTGATATAGATCATAGACATTGAACAAAAAAGAGCCCCAAGAGATCCCCACTTCCAACTCCCAAACAAGGCGGGTAAGGTGCTAAAACCTGAGGTCTACCAAGGGCTATTTTCTGTTCACCAACTGCTCTCCCAGGAAGAGGATGGGCTCCATGACCTGAGAGCTATCACAGACAATTGTATTTGTCCTCCTTTCCCCTCCTTACCCCAAGTCTCTGCCTTTCCATAGTACCTTCTTCAGAGCCCCCTTCACATCCTTGTTTCTTAGGGTATAAATCAGAGGATTGAGCATGGGGGTAACTATAGTATAAAAAAGGGCAACAAACTTTCCCTCACTCTGTGAATAATTACGCATGGGTTGGAGGTATGTGTAAATGGCTGAGCCATAAAAAAGGGAAACCACCAAGAGGTGGGACCCACAAGTCCCAAAAGCCTTTCTGCGTCCAGCAGCTGATTTGACCCTCAGCACTGCTTGAGCAATGTGGACATAAGAGCCTAGAATTAGTGCTTCAGGAACCACCCCGATAATGACTCGGGCCACAAACATCTTGACCTCTGTCTCTTGTGTGTCCTCACAAGCCAGCTTCAGGAGCACAGGCATCTCACAGAAGAAGTGGTTCAGGTGATGGGGGACACAGAGGGGCATGGCCATCATGAGGCCTGTCTGAACCGCAGAGTTCATGAAGCCTCCCACCCAGGAGATGACGGCCAGTGTCTGGCAGAAACGGGGGTACATGATGGCTGTGTAGTGGAGTGGTCGACAGACAGCAGCATAGCGGTCAAAGGCCATCACCACCAGGAGCACAGACTCAGTGGAGCCCAGGGAGAGGAAGAGAAAGAGCTGGGCCACACACCCTCCATAGGTGATGGTCCGGTAGTGTCCATGAAGGTTGATCAGAAGCTGGGGCACAGTGCTGGTGGTGCAGCAGAGGTCCAGGAAAGAGAGATGACAGAGGAAAAAGTACATGGGTGTGTGCAACCGATGATCCAGGCAAGAGAGAGCAATGATGGTGGTATTGCCAAAGAGAGTTAGGGAGTAGAAAATTGAAATAAAGACAAAAAGGGCAAGTTCCAGTTGAGGCCAATCTGAGAAGCCCACCAAAATGAAGTCTTCTCCGCAACTAGTGTTGAAACTTCCCATAGCCTTTGACCTGTCCAAATACCAAAAGACAATTTAATGCCTTTTATGGAGCCCCAGTGCTGCAGTGGTTAAAAGATCGGCGGCTAACCAAAAAAGGTAGGCATATCGAATCTACTAGCCACTCCTTGGAAACCCTATGGGGCAGTTCTACTGTGTCCTATAGGGTCGCTATGAGTCATGAGTTCGGTGGTTTTTATGAAGAACATGGCTTGTGTTTCTGTCAGAGTTAAGTGCTTAGCTACTAAATTAAAGGTTGGAGGTTCTAATCCACCCAGAGGCACCTGGGAAGAAAGCCTAGCAATCTGCTTCTGAAAGATCACAACCATTGAAAACACTATGGAACACAGTTCTACTCTGAAACACATGGGGTCCTCATAAGTCAGAACTGACTCTACAGCAAGTAGTTTGGTTTGGTTTATGAACAACATGGATTAATACATCATTTCACAGTATTCCCTAAATACTCCTAAATCATGTATTTTATTATCGACTTTGCTATTCAGTTCTGTTCTGTCCAGTCTTCACTTTTTCTTACTCTTCTCGAGAGTAGAGGTCACTGGATTAGAAATAATGTCACCTTCATTTGAACCCTATTCTTGTTGCCTGTTTGTTCCATGAGTTGAGCAACACCCCTTAATACCTTGGATCTGGTGTTTCCTTTTTCTGAAAGTAGAGATGATGTATTGTCTCATTTTAGGCATTGTGGTAGGGACCAAATGTAATAATATGAAAACTGCTTTTAAAAATCTAAGGTGTAAAAATGCAGCATTTGTATTCTATGTTCTCTTTTCCTCTTTTTCTTAACCTATTAGGTAGCATGTTTCAATAGAATAGAACCATGGATAATGAGGCTGAGATCTCATCTTTGCTCTCTGGGAGCTCATTTGCTTCCTTCTGCTCAATGAATATGATCAGCCCATCATTCCTGGAAGCCCTGCTCAAGACCAGCTGCCATTTGTCACACAAATGACTGAGAAGAGTATACATTCATCGATTTGGGGGAAAAAGAACAATTAGCAACAAATATCCTCATTATGGTAAGTCATCGTGTCTGGAATACACTCCCACTTCTTCTCCCACCGATAAGTCCATCCTTCAACCCTCCTGAAGAGTTGGTTTTTCCCTCCTTCTAGCCCAATCCTCTTTGTACAGTTTCTCTCTAGCACCTGTAACACTGCGTTAAAATTCTTTTTACATGTCTTTGTCCTGCTCTGAGCTGTGATCTCCACGGTGGAAGGGAACATAGTGAATACAAAAATAAATACTAGTGTTTTCCTTTATGGTACACAAGAGGTACTAAATTAATGTTACTTTCATTTATGGCATACACGAAATGATACATAAAGTTTGTTAAATAAAAAAATTTACCCTCCCTTAAAATCTCATGGAAATGTATTTACTCTAAGAAACATACAGATTAATTACTATTACACTTTGATACACTAAAGAAGTGGGAGATACAAAAAAGAATTACTCTCCTTTAAGATTGATATTTCTTGCAGTAAAAATCTGAAAACGATTATAAGGATTGAGTCAGCAAGAAAAAAAAAGAAACTAATGTTCACCTATAAACTGGCATATGTTCAATTAAATAAGTTTTGGCTTTCTGTTTATTGTCAGAGAAAATTTAGCAACGGATATTGGTGACATTTGCACAAATGATTAATGTAATTACTGAATAGTACATAGGAAAAATCTTGAATTGGCAAATGTTGTGTTATATTTGGAGACCTGGGGGTGCAGGGGTTAAGAGCTCAGCTGATAACCAAAAGATCATTGGTTTGAATCCACCAGTCACTCCTGGGAAACCCTATGAGGCAGTTCTACTCTGTCCTATAGTGTCACTATGAGTCGGAATCAACTCCATGGCAATGGGTTTGTTTGTTTTTTGGTGATATATATATATATATATATATATAAAATAAAAATAAATAATTTTTTAAACAATAAATTTTGGCAAATGAACTCATTTCTCTTTTTGTGAAGTTTCCTGATCTGAAAGACCATCAACAAAGAATCAATGCTGGGTCAATAATCCCAGCAAGTTGTTTGGATGCCACTCTTGATGCTCTCGTGGAAAAGGTGGATTAAAATGTGAAATAATAATAGCAAAGTGTTAATCCATATGTAGCCTAACCAATACATCAAAGCTATTTTCTAAATGGCCACCATAGTAAAATGCAATGGCCTTGGAATCCCTGCATCAGAGTCCCACGGATCTGCTTGACCACTGACCAGCTGTGACACCTATTCAGGAAAATTCACTTCTGTGACTCTTGGATTACCCAGTTGTAAAACAGAGATAATAACTTGCTTCACCATATTTTAATGGGAATTAAATAATGTGATGCATTCTGTAAGCTGCCAAGAATATGCTATACACACTTTTAATACTTGTCTGTCTCTACCACTAATCTTTAAGTTTCATGCAACTGCATCAACTTTTGTTCGTCATTGTATCTTCATCTCCCAGTGCAGTGTTTGGTTAATAAAAGGCTCTCAATAGATATCTGAGCTGGAATTATGCCTGGTACACATAAATGTTCCAGAAATATTTGTTTTTTGTGTAACATGCAAAGAATTATCACATCTGCAATATGGCTTCTTGTTTAGTGGCACAAGGTTTTTAACTCAGCCCTGCTCTATATTTTTATCAAGAATTTTTATAACGCCATAGAGGTGTGCTTTGTATATTTGCAAATAAGTAAAAGTTTAGAAATATAGTTAATATTAGAAACAATAGGACCATAATCTAAAAATATCTCAACATACTTAAACAACGAGTTTTAAACCAGTAACATACTATTGAACAGAGATAATTGAACTTAGTTTCAAAACCTCATTTGCAAAAATGTAGAATAGAAGTAGACCTAACTTGACAATCATTCATTAAAAAGTGGAACACAGAGATGACCTGGGGATGTGCTAACCAAAAAACTTAACAAAAATCAACAATGTCCACTTGAGTTTTGAATTTACCAAATGCAAGCTCAAACTGTATAAAAACACTGGAACTTGGACTCTCTAGTTTGGAAGGAAACCTAAACATCATTTCCTATAGCCCCTTGCACCATCTGATACATAGTTCCCCAGTACAGCATCCTAAACCAAGAGCTTATGTAATGAAGCCCCTGCTTCATTTCATCATCCTTCAATAATCATAATTTTTGCCACTTTATTTTCCCCGTATCTATCAGCTCCCTATTTCCATATTTATATGTCTTAATTCTTTGGTCCATCATGTCAATTGATTTCTTGCTAATATCCTTAACTTATTATCACTCTGTCCCATGCACTCAATTCTAGAAGAATGAAATTCTCTGTAGTTTCCGTAAATAAATTTAGGTTAATAAGTTCTGCTGACAACAATGATTCAAGTGTCCAATTCAATGCTACTAAAACTTTATGTTCTTGATAGTGTATCTTTTTTAAAAATTGTAGAACAAATATACATAACAAAACATTTGCCAATTAAACAATTTTTAAACGTATAATTCAATGACATTGACCGATAATGTATCTTTAACATTCCCTGCCCTGTACGTGCTCGTTTCCAATTGGCATGACATGTAAAAAGCCCCTTCAACTGAAAAATAATGTCCCTTTACACTATGTCCCTTTTTATCTACTTCACTGTCTTTCCTGCTCTTTATAGATAAGTTTATTGTAAGAGTTGTCTATGCTCAATGTTTCAACTTCCTTGCCTCCCAGTCACTCTCCAACCTACAGCTATATGGATTTTTTCCTTACAGCTCTTAATGGAAACATACAGAGGATGTTTATCTGTTCTCATCTTTCTCACAGCATTTTATCCGTTGACTATTGCCTCTTTCTACACAAACCTCTTCTCTTCCCTTCCTGGATTTCTTCCTGCTTCTCTGGCCATTCCTCAGTCTCTTTTATGTACGCGTTTCTCTGTGCAGCGCTTATATGTTAGGGTTCCTCCTCAGGTTCCACCCCAGAACCGATTACCATTCTAAACTCTTCCTTTAAAGTGTCATCCACTCCAGGGCTTGAATCACAGGTCACTGTGTTGATAACACTGAAATATATCTCTTCCCCCACAACCTCTCTTCTGGACTTCATACTTCTCTAATCCATCTTCTTGCCAGTCATCTGCACTTGGATGTACCCTACGTACCACACGCTCAGGAGGTCTAATACATCTTACCCCTACAAAACTGCTTCTCCTCTTGTGTTCCCTATCCCAGTCAAGGCATGACCAAGCTACACAGTTCACCAAACCAGAAAAAACACCATCAACCTCTACATCCCCACTGTGGATTCAGGTCACAACTTAGTTGTCGCTTCTTCTAAGGCAGTGGTTCTCAACAGGAGCAATTTTATTTCTCTGAAGACATTTTTGTAATGTGTGGAGACATTTTTGGTTGATACAACTGCAGGAATGGCAGTGATGGTACTGTCATCTAGTTGGCAGAGGCCAGGGATGTTGCTAAACATGCTGTAACGCACAGAATATTACACACACACACACACACACACACGAACTATCTGGCCCCAAATAATTATTTCTCTATCCCATCATACTAGAACTTTCAGAGAGTAGAGCTGTGTCTACCGGGTTTGTGATTGCAGCTTTAGTGCCTAGCATAATGGCTGGCATGTAGAAGTACTAAATTATTAAGTCCCTCATGCCTACAGGCACTCACCTGTACCAGCTCTTTAATCAGTGCATGGAAAGACATGAAGTGTTGCAGCCGTTTCAGTCTTATTCAGAAAGTAAGATGTGGAGGTAGTCCTGCTTCCTTGGGATCTGGTGCCTTTTATCTGAAATCTGGTGTGTCAGGAGAGAGTCTCAGTACCCATGTAGTTTCTAGGTTAAAGTTTTTTCTATCCCTGCTTCATCATATTGACTTTCTCCTGCCTAACCAAGGCCTGGCCTCTCGTGAAATGCCTTCCTAGGGGTGTATGTCCTGATTTCTAATCCCCAGATCTGGGCTGATCTCCCAGAACCGCAGCATCCATGCCTGTCTGAAGTG